TTTGTCAACCTTGTACCTAAGAGAGTGCTTGGGAGGAAGCAACCATGTAAGGAGTTATCATTCTTTCACGCTTTTCCCATCCTTGCCTTGCTCACAGCAATGCCCTTCTACTAGGGATCAGAGTTTCCTCTAATTGCTAACCCCAGTATCTTCTTCTCATCCCTTCCTTTTAGATAAGCTTGAGTATTTGCTGGTGAGAAGATTTAGAAAGTAAAAAGGATTGTTATTCTTTTATTTTCCCTTAGGTCATCCTTTTGCGTAAGTGAATCTTTGGACAGAGAGCAACTAAAACGTTCTTTGAAGAAGAAAGACTCGTTTATAAGAAGTACCAAAAGCCTAGTGTTGTGCTGATGGCAGATGAGAAACATATTAAACCCATACGAGAACAGCCCAAGATGAATACAGTTCTTGGCTGCTCACATTTACTTACGAGTGAAATGAAAATGGCAAGAACTGGAGCTTGCTCCTCTGTGGTGGTGTGTGCAGACTGGGGACTCCTGGTCACTCATGTGATGAAAGGGGTAATCAGCCGAGCTTTACTTTTGCGAGATCAAGAAGCTGTGTCACAGAAGTAATGGTCCTGGGCCCAGTAGCAGAATATGAATAAGGAGTAGTATTAAGGCAACAGGAACATCCAAGTTTCTAGAACCTACCTAGAGGTATCAGCTTCTCTTTTATTTATTTTAAAATTCAAATTGCTTATGTATTAAGAATATTGATTCAGAATTATTTAGTATAAAAACAGAACGTTTGGAAAACAACATAGTATGAAAACAAAACATTTTATTTAGTATAAAAACAGCCATTAAGAGGAACTAGGAAAGTAGGGATTTCCCTGGTGGTCCAGTGATTGAGACTCCATGCTTCCAATGCAGGGGACTTGGGTTCGATCCCTGGTAGGGGAACTAAGATCCCACATACCCTGTAGTGTGGGTAGAAAAATAAAAAAAACAAACAACAGCAACAGAAAAAGAGGAACTGGCCAAGTAAACTCTAGTATACCCACACAATGCAGTATTATCAATCTGTGTTTTAGTTGTTTATATTGAATAAATGACGTAGATCTATCGGAAGTGACTTCAAAAAGATACTGGTGATGAAGGGGTCAACGAAAATAGCAAGTTGTAGAGCTCCCAGTTGTGTTTATTATTTTTTTAAATTTTTTATTGGAGTATAGTTGCTTTACAAAGTTGTGTTAATTTCTACTGAACAGCAAAGTGAATCAGCTCCGTGTACACATATATCCCCTCTTCTTTGGATTTCCTTCCCATTTAGGTCCCCACAGAGCACTGAGTGGAAGTCTGTGCTATACGGTAGGTAGAGACGTCAGCCTCTCTTTTGATACACCTTGTAAGAATTAGTCTTATTATTTTTTTGCCATTGTTATGAAGCTTTTATTAAGGGTCTCCTGGGAAGTAATGCCCATGGGAAGTTGTTTTATTTTCTGTTTATTTATTTATTAGAAATGTTCATTTATATTGGAGTAGTGTTCTTGCCTGGAGAATTCCAAGGTTGGAGGAGCCTGGTGGGCTGTGATCCATGGGGTCGCAAAGAGTTGGACACGACGGAGCTACTAACGCACACACACAGCGTTGTATAACAGTGTCATGTGAGTTTCAGGCAGACAGCAAAGGGATTCAGTTAGACATATACATGTATCTATTCTTTTTCAAATCCTTTCCCCATTTAGGTTATTACAGAGTATTGAGCAGAGTTCCCAGTGATATGCTGTAGGTCCTTGTTGCTTATCTGTTTTACTGACAGTGTGTACATGTTCCTCCAAAACTCCCAATTTGCCCCATCCCACCTCTCTCCCCCCAGTGACCATAAGTTTGCGCTCTAAGTCTGTGAGTCTTGAGAATTAGGTTTCATCCAAGAAAACTCTCCTGTTGCTTTGCTTTCTGAAAACGCACTTGAAAATAATCACTTACTACTCTTACACCCTCTAGATGGCCTATATTTCAAATTTTCCCATAGATAAGTATGGCAGATCTATACCAATATATCTTTTCCCATCTTTCCCATTCTGAAATGCTTGCGTATTGCTAAAAATGTTCCATGTGATTCTTAGAGATGGGAAAGGAAAGAAATTGATTGGGAATGGTAGGACACTTGACACAGAAATTTAACATGCAGCGCATTCCTGGAAAAGCACAGAAGGTGGCCATCGTGTGCAGTTCTGGGTGTTGTGTACACAGCCTAACCGTCTTCAGAAGAGAATACTACATTTTACTATTATGTCCAATAGATTCACTAGGCCTTACATAGAATCCCTAAATGTTAAGGGAAGTATGACTGTTATCTTAGGTGATGTGTTAATGAGTGAGTTTAAGACTATAAATTGAAAACTGTATGGGGTTTGCACTGATGTACAGTTGTCTGCCCAGCACCTCTTCCTCAGGAGAGTACCCTCTCCCTAGCTCCCCAGGTCTTGTGGGTGCCCCTCTGCCCTTCATGGGGTGCTCTTTCCCCTTCACAGAGCTGGGTGCAGGCACACGTGTTCCACATCGCCCTGGCTGTGCTGGTCAGTTCACAGGAGGCACAGGATTCACCAATGAGCAAAGTATTTGCCTTCAGTTTCTCTGCCAAGGATGGCTCTGGACTTGGGTGGATTTTATTTTCTCTTATTTTTGTTTATAATTTTATTTGCTTATGTTGGCTGTGCTGGGTCTTTGTTGCCACACGGGCTTTTCTCTAGCTGGGGCGAGGTAGGGCTGCACTAGTTTCTGTGCTTGGATTCTTGTGGCGGTGGCCTCAGGAGTTGTGGCTCCCAGGCTGAGTTGCTCCACTGCATGTGGGATCTGCCCCGATCAGGGATCGAACCCGTGTCTCCTGCATTGGCAGGTGGATTCTTTACCACTGAGCCACCAGGGAAGCCCTGCTTTATTTTTCTAATTGGAGGATAATTGCTTTGCAGCGTTATGTGGGTTTCTGCTATATACAACAGCGTGAATCTCTAAGTATACACATAGCCTCCCCCTCTCCAGCCTCCTTCCCACTCCCGGCATCACACCCGCCTGGGTCACCCCAGAGCCCCGAGCTGAGCTCGCTGCTGTCCTGTAGCTGCTTCCCAGTATTGTCTGTTTTACACATGTGTATATGTGTATACATGTCAATGCCACTCTCTCAATTTGTCCCACCCTCTCCTTCCTGGGTAGATTTTAGACGAGGCCTTTCCCAACACATGAAGATGAGCAAGACAGACAGGTACCTCTGCCGAGGAGCGGTTGACTCCTGTATTCTCCCTGCCAAAGGGTCTGTGCCCAGTGACCACCCTTCATCTCAGACTGTCCTGAGGGCCTCTGTGGGTCCACCCACACTTGGAGGATTCTGGCCACAGCTACAGACGTCTGCTTTCTACCTTTCTTCCTTTCAACTCCTATTCTCAGTAAGTCAGCTGGTTTCTTATATTTGTGGACCATGTTAAAACCTCCTTGGATAATATCTCAGGTTCCAACCATGCCACGCTTTTCTAGATGGAGTTGAATGTGGGCATCACTGGGGCTTAGAGGAAATTCTCATAGCTACTCTGAGTCCCAGGGAGTTCGTCAGGTGGTGCTGCAGGACTGGCCCCTTCTTGTAAAGCCTGCCCTGGAATTTTTATTTTCCCAGGAAACCTTTCCTCAATGGCTCAGTGGGTAAAGAATTTGCCTGCAATGCAGGAGACATAGGAGATTCATGTTCGATCTCCCGGTCGGGAAGGTCCCCTGGAGGAAGAAATGGCAACCTGCTCCAGTATTCTTGCCTGAAGAATCCCATGGACAGAGGAGCCTGGCAGGCTGAATCCATGGGATGGCAAAGAGTTGGACATGCCTGAGTGACTAAGTGCACAGAAGAAGCCTTTTAAGCTGAATCGAATGAGTTGATCAACTTTGGAGCCACTTGAGAGATAAGAGAATAAAACCGCTACTCTTCCTGGAAAAGAAGGAAAGGGTCAATGAGAAGAATTATTTATACCTCTCACTGCCACCTTCAGCGGGCAGTTAAGATCGCCCTATTGAGTGGCCTCTGCTTATTAATAGAAGGAGTGAAGAAAGAAAAATGGAGTTAATGTTGCCATGAAGACATGACAGAGCCTCTGGTTTCCAGGATCGGCCTGAAATGAATTAAAGCCAGATTATACCAACAAATCTGTCACGCCGCCCTGCAAACAGGAAGCCTCAGCTGGGCCAACAGGAATTAGTCACGGCACACACTGGCAAACCCTACCAGACCAGGGAATGAAAAATCTGCTTCATCTGCAAAAATGAACTCTCGGAATTTGTACAGTGTTTTCCATTACCCACTTTCTTTTCTCTGAAGGCTGGTCATCAGATCTGCTTGGCTGGCTTCTGCTTCTGCTGTACCATTAAGTGTAGAAATTGGTATATGAAACGCGATCCCAACTAGCCGTGTGTCTTTGGACTCAGTGACCTCATCTTTCGGGACCTGAGTTTCACCTTCTGCAAAATAATGAGGTTGGCATCTCATGATCCTAGTACTTTAACTCTTTTTTGGAGATTAGAACAGAATATATAAGACATTTATTGCCCACCCGTGAAGTGCTCATTTGATGATACAAAGTGTTGACGATGAAGTTTTTTTCGAGAGTTTTCAGTATCTAACCAGCAAGGACCTCCTGCAGAACGCAGGGAACTCTGTTCAGTGTGATGTGGCAGCCTGGATGGGAGGGGAGTTTGGGGGTGAATGGACACGTGTGTATGTGTGATGAGTCCTGTTCGCTGTCCACCTGAAACTATAACATTGTCAATAGGCTATAACCCAAAACAAAATAGAAGGTGTTTTTAAAAAAGAGTTCCCAGTGTCTCTGGGGTGATGTGCATTTAGAAAATGTGTTCTAAAAACAGGGATAAGGTCAACAGAACTGAATATACTTAAAAGACATCTAACAGTGTGTCCCAGTGGGTTTTTCTCTGCCCCAGAATTGTAGCTGGAGAAAGTTCCTGTGTGTATGACATCACAAAGACAGTCTTGAGCAAACGAAGCCAGTGCCGCCTGCCTAGGGCTCACTGGGAGGGACCAGAACCACATGGGCCCCAGCCCCACCATCCACTGTCATGAGAGTGGGTGGGGAGGGTGGGGGAGTCTTTGCTGAGTGAACAGCACAGTATCCCAGGTGAGAGACCATTGCCTCCCATTCCTAACCCATTCCTAAAGCCAAACAGGAGGGCTTCTAGGAGAATTTTAAAGACTGGAGGGAGCTTTAAGACATGGAGATTGGCAGCTCGCTCCCTGACCCGGCATGTGCCAAGCTGTCAGCCTCCAGGGGCACCCTGATTCTCCCGTCTGTGCCCAGCGAATGTTTTGGGGGTTAGTGGAGGAGCAGACTGGAATCCTAGGGCAGAGCTTACATTGTCCCTTTCAGTCTCAGATTTGGGGACATCCTTAGACCAACAGAGTTCAGAGCTAGAGATTTCTGAGGATGAAGGGCCCGTAGGAGGAGGCCAGGTTAGCAGATTTGATGGGTTTTAATACAAGATGTTTGCGGAAAGGACTGGGCAGCTCGCATCTCATTCCAGGTCTTCATCGGCCTTGCGGGGTGTAGAAGAGAGGACTCCGGCAGTCCTGACCACTCTCCGTCAAGAGTAATCAGGTTTACCTGAGAAGCAGCAGTGAGCCTGCCAAGTGAGCGGAGAGATGATGGCACCCTTCTGGGTGAGGTCATCGGTTGTGGAGGGTGTGGATTAAAGCTAACCTTTTTCTCAGAATGTCATCACCTACTTGGCAGCCACCAGCAGTGGACAGAGCTAGACTGAATGAGGGCGAGTTTGGGAAGGGTCCCTTAGCCTGCAAGGAGACTCTGGTCCACCCCCCCCCCCCCACTTCCCAGCACCTGAGGGACATAAAGCTAGAAAAAGAAGAAGGAGCAGGTGTCTAAAGGTGTCTAAGCCAGATAACAAGGCTTTCTGGTATCTATCAGGTACTGGAAATCTACTGAATCTGCTCCATGCTGTTAAGGCAGCTACTGCCCAGTGGGGAAGAGGGAATCCACGTAGCCCAAATGCAGGCAGTTCCATATTTATACTCCGCTAAGCTGAGAAAATTTAAACACCAAGTTAAAGTGTCATGATGGCAGACTAACTCTACTTGGGAACACTCAAGGATTCAGTGGAATAGAGGAGACAGGCTCCATTAACTTTAGGACAAATACAACTGATAAGTGATAGAGGCAAAATAAAATGCTGGTGGGGATGGGATGCTGAGGCAGACTGGATGGATTCTGATTGGAAGTGAAGGGCTGCTCTGAAGAGGGGACATCTGAGCTGGAAAGGAGGAATTTGAAAGAAGGAGAAAAGGGTGGGCTTTCTCGGTAGAAGAACCAGAATCAATAAGACACAGAGAGCAAATAGTGAGTAATCGGTTCTGATTAGAACAGAGAAGGAGAGAGGGAGGTTAGAATTTAAGGCTATCCCAACTTGCTTCCCAGGTGGCACTGGTGGTAAAGAACCTGCCTGCCAATGCAGGAGATGCTAGAGATGTGGGTTTGCTCCCTGGGTCGGGAAGATCCCCATGGCAACCCACTCCAGTCTTCTTGCTTGGAGAATCATGGACAGAGGAGTCTGGCAGGCTACAGTCTATGGAGTTGCACAGAGTCGGACATGGTTAAAGCGACTTAGCACGACTTGCTTCAACTCACTTTCCCAGCTCTAAGGATTGCCGTCTTTATACTTACTGACCATGAAAAGCCATTGAGAACACAGTTTAGAATATTTTAAAGGTATTACTCTGGCAGAGGGAGGGTTGGAGGAAGAAGAGAGCAGAGAAGAGTGGGCATTGGGCAGGATTTTGCAGCAGTTCAGTTGAGAAGTAATATCTCTCTGAGTCAGAGCATGACAATGAGGATGAGGATCACTGTGGCTCTGAGAGGTAGTGAAAGTCACTGGATGGTGGTAAAAGCTGAGTCAGAAAGAGTCCAGTACAGCTTCCAGCTTGGTCTACTAAGTAGGTGATAAGTGCTATGAAGGATGAGAAAGGAAACAGATTTTGCGGGGGAAGAAGGAGACAGACAAAAGAATGATAATGACCAACATTTATTAAGCCCCAGGACTTCCCTGGTGGTCTAGGGGGTGGTTAAGACTCTGCCAATGCAGGGAGCATGGGTTCAGTCCCTGGTCAGGGAACTAAGATCCCACATGCTGCATGCCCAAAAGACAAAGTAGTAATAATAATTGAAAAATTGTAAACAGTTTACTCATTTTGGGAATTCCCTGATGGTCCAGTGGTTAACAACCCTGTGCTTCCACAGCAGAGGGCACCAGTTTGATCCCTGGTCAGGGAACTAAGATCCCATGTGCTGTGTGGTACATCTGAAAAAAAAAAGTCTCCACTTGGTATCAGCATTTTTCTGAGTGGTTTATACATATTAATTCATTTCATCCTCAAAACAACTTTAAGAATAGATACTATTAAGTATCACCATCTTACAGATGGATGTACAGTATGTGTGTGTGTGCTAAGTCTCTTCAGTCGTGTCTGACTCTTTGCAACCCCAAAGGCCAAAAACCTGGCCTTTGCCTGCCAGGCTCCTCTGTCCATGGAATTCTTCAGGCACGAATCCTGGAGTGGGTTGCCATGCCCTCCTCCCGAGGATCTTCCCAACCCAGGGATCGAACCTGTCTCTCTTACATCTCCTGCATTGGCAGGTAGGTTCTTTACCACTAGCACCACCTGGGAAGCCCAAATGTACAGTAGGTTTTTGGAAATTTCAGTCTTGAATTTGGGAGGGGAGTTTTGGCTGGATACTTGAGAGTATTCCATGGGTAGTAATCTTTGCATCCTGAAATTGTCTGGGTGCAGCATGCCCTGCATAAGACTGAGACAGACCCTGGGAAACCAGGAACTCCACCACTGAAAGAACGGGGAGGAGAGGAGTGTGGCAGGGATGGCTGGCTGCTCACTGTAATCCATGTCTCTTCTTCCTGAGCATGTCTCCCGGGCTCCCTTGCAGCTACGTGTGGTGGATTGCTAGCCAGGAGGATGTGTGAGCCAAAGTGATGGGGCCATAATCCATGCAGCCTTTCATGTGGGCTTTTCTGTGTTCCTTTCTCTTCCAGCTGACTGAGCTGGAGACCTCCAGGGAGACTCTCATATGTAGTTGACACGTCCTCCATCAGCCTGGGTCTCTAAGTGACTGCATGGAGCAGAGCATTCCACACCCTCATCACCAACCAGGATGACTTGAGACTTCACTGGGCTCTAAAGTGAGCAAGGAATACATGTCTCTTGTGATTGAATCATGTAATTCTGAGTCTACTCTACAGGAGTTACCTACCCTAACCAAAGCAGAGAGAACTGTAAAAGACATTAAGAAAAGCAAGGAGGGATGAGAATTTATCTCTGTAGTTGCCTCTTATGCAGAATTGTTATTTCTTTCACAAGGGAGCATTTGGTTAGGTTCGATCCAGTGACTTCCTTTATTCTAAAATTTGTCACAAAATGGGTGAAAACCCAAATCCTGGGGTGACTTTTTTTTTTTAATGTCTTCCCCAAATCCCTTCCCAAGCTTTTGATTGCATCTGCTGTCACTCTTGAATTAGGAGCAAGTCTCGGATGAAACTTGTCCCACACAATGCTGCAGCAACAAGCTTATTGCTTCCTTTCAACCGTCTGACTTGCACACGCTCTACTCTGTACAATCTGTCAGGGTCCCCTTTCTTTGCAGGCACAGCACAAAGTGAAGGTCAGTCAGCACATAATTGTAGGAACATTGCTGTGTTGAAAGCAGACTTCATTACCCTCGGTAAGTGCTACCTGATATTGACTGAGGCATCGTAAGGAGGAAAAAAAGCTTAATGCGTCCTGCATATTTTGCAATGCAATGTATTGTGATTACTGTGGAGGATGTATGAGAACTTTGGTTGAAAACGAAGCACCTTTCTAACGGCATTTTGCACAGGAATGGTGTAATGGGTTTTGCAGACACAAAACATACTGTCCAAATCATCAGAACCCACATTTCCTACATTTTCTAGGATCAACTGCTAAGTCACGATTCAGGCACATGCTTTCCTGCACACTGCAGTTCAGGCCATCTGCAAATGTGAACCTCATGTGTGTGTGTGTGTGTGTGTGTGTGTGTGTGTGTGTAAGTGTGAGCAAGAGACCTACAGAGACTGGACAGGGAAATGAAATGCCCAAAGGGAACCCTAAATAGACCTCATCCACTTGTACAATTGGCATCCTCAGTGTTAAGATGAACTTGGGTGGCAAAACACTTACCTGTCATTTAAACAAAATAAAGTCCCACATAACAGGAAAAGCTACATTGGAAGCAAGACCCAATTCACACTGAGCTCCACAGGGAAGAAAAGAAATTGAATGTGCTCCTCCCTCTTAAGCATATCCAAGAGACAGCCAGTCTCGTAAATTTCACATCAACCTAGTTTGGCCTCTAAACCAAATCTGCCGTAATGCTATTTGTAGATATAGATTGCTGTCTTTTTCATTACCGTTATCAAATGATGCATTTGCGGCTCAGCTCCGAACTCCTTGACCCATTAAGTGGATTAGACTGCCTGTTGCCTTTGTCCTTTTAGCTTTTGCTTTATCCTCAAATATTCCACCCTTTTATTTTATGCATCTAATATACAGGCATGATTCTGCATGGCATGCACATACATATGCCTGCAATTCCAATTAGCCCAGCGACCCCAGCCCTTCTGTTTTTTTAAGAGGACTGTGTTCAAATCTCTCATCAGAGTCATCAATCCTTCCCTGCAGCACAGCAGCAGCTGAAACCCTCTGAGGAATGGCATGTCACAAGCCCAGCTCAGGGCTCCCTGTCGAGCTACACTCAGCAAATTGAAGATCATGCTCCCTATTAAGCTCCTGGCTGGTGCATCACGGTAGACTCATTTTCAAGAGCAGCTTACACCCCCCACCCCCACTTCGTCTTGTGCATGATAATCAGTACTCCAGCCCACAGGAGCTGCAGCAGAAAAAATTAATTCAGGAGAAGTCTTGATAGTATTATTAACGTGAAAACAGATGCTCCTGTATGGCTCAAGAAAAGCTGGGGGAAAACAATTGATGAGAGAGACAAAAAACCAATGATTCAGTCCTGACTCATGAAGCCAAAGGATTACTCCATTGGGCTTCCATGATTGGCAAACATTTACTGAGGGTCCACCATGTGCAATGTGCTATGTTGGGTAATGGGAATGCAGTGGTTGAGTGAGACAGGCATTCTCAGAAGCAGCTACTCAAGGAGCTGTAGAGTTGGGCACAGTAATCATAGTAAAGAGCAGTAACAATTGCTATGATATGTGCACTTACAATTAAACATTCAGAAGGGGCCCCTAACATTCTTGGGAAATCAAGGAAGACTGCCTGGAGGAGGTGACATTTGGGTTGAGGCATGGAGAAGGGTAGAAGAGCTATTTTCCTAGGAGAGCTCTGGGTTTTTGGTAGGTGATAAAGAATACTTGGTAGCTTGCCTCCACATGGCCACCGTTAGCTGGAGAATCCCATGGGCAGAGGAGCCTGGCGGGTTATAGTCCATGGGGGTGCAAAGAGTCAGACACCGCTGAGCGACTAAGCATAGCACAGTCGCTTTACAATGTGACATGAGTTTCCACTGTCCCGCAAAGTGAATCCGCTCTACCTGTACATATATCCGCTCTTTGTCACCGCAGAGCACTGAGTCGAGTTCCCTGTGCTGTACAGTGAGTGGCTTCTCATTAGTCATCTACTGTATACACAGTGTCAGTAGAATCCCTCTATTTTAATCTTCCAACAGACCCTTGTTAAACCACGGCTGAGACTCCACTTAAATCCTCACTGAGAATGCGGAAGTGTTTCCCCAGCAGACCTTTCTCTCTCACATGCCTGTGTTTCATAGATCCACCCGCTCTCCGAGTGACATCTGAGGAAGGTGTGAGAACATAGTCGCCCTCCCTTCCAGACCTCCTCTTCCTGATGGTCGGTGTTCTCTTGACTTCTTATCCAGCTTTCCCTGGTGTTGAGCGGGGTGTGGGAATCATGGCACAAAGAACTGCTTTGCAAGAGCTGCAGATTGGCTCTGATGGTTAATCTCCCATGGAAACCTTTTGTTTAAGCAATTAAGAATTTGGGTAGAGGGCATTTCTAGGGATTAATGGCCAGGTGTTAAAAACCTGACTGCTTACAACCTTGTAAATGACTATTTATCAGCAGGAAATGACCTGCTTCGATGTGACTGATGATATTTACTCAGAAAATTAGATGAACAAGGGCACAGGTACATTTTGAGGGATTCAAGGCTGATAGTGTAGAGAGGTTGACAGTCTTCTTAGGCACGACTAGCTTCTGGGTTTGCTCGCTGAAGCATTTTGCTCTTGGGTTTTACACAGAGGAGTTCTCAAACATTCTTTTAAGGGTATTATAAAGGGCTAAAGTCAAGAAATGAGAAATATATCAGTATCACTGTTGTTCAGATATTTAATATTTAGCAGGAATTTTGAAATTATATGAGGCAAATGGAAAGCATAATCAAAATTTAGCACCAGGGTGCTAAATCAGATGCTGTCATTTCTTACCTGCATGACTATGGACAAGTCACTTCACTTCTAAGTTTATTCATGTGTAAAATGAGGCTTGTGGAAGAAGTGATCCCAAAGGTAATCCCAGCCCTGTCATTTTGCAAGTATAGCTGCAGTCTATTATCAAGTCATCTAGAGAAAATTTGATGCAGTCAGAAATACGATATTGTATCGGTGTAACGCTATTTTTTTCTGAGGCGGCCAAAGAGTTCTGCACACGCTGCTCTCATGGGCTTTGGCCACCTGCTTTCATGACTGAGTGGGCTGCCTGTGAAATACCATGCTTCCCACTCTTGCCAACCCTGTCTCAGGACCTGATGTGCCCACCCTCTTGCTGTTCCTCCTGGTCTTGCCCACAGAAAGCCTTTGCTGTGAATGAATCAGAAAGGCTAACCCATAAGCCCACAAGCATCGGGAAGGGTTTACTTCATGGGTGCCAGATGTGGATGAAGGTTCTGAATAATGGAGGAGCTATGGAGAGAGGGAGTCAACGTGAGTGGAGATACCACAGTATTAAACCTTTGGGAGGTTCGTGGGGCTGGAAGGGAAAGATGGGGCCCTAAGGCATTTGTGCCTTGGTTACGGTGGTATGTGGATGGCCAGGACTATAGAAAGGTCCCTTGTTAGAAAAGGCAAGTCAGGAGTTAAGGTCTCTTTGTGGGGTTCAAATGATGACATTCTTTTCTTCCAAGAACAATCTTCTGCAACCAAGGACACATTTCGCGTTTTGTGCATTGCATCTGAAGCTATAAATTCCATAGGTGTTGTATGGAGCATGGAGACCACTAGAATCACCAGGATCCCAACAGCTCTGTGCAGGAGGTGTTATTGTCACCACTTAGCGGGTGAGAATATTGAGGCTTGCCTCAGATAAATAATGTTCCCAAGGTCAAGCAATTGAAGTCAGATACGATTTTTGGTCTGTCCGACTCCAGGACCTGTTATATCACACTCTTTCTCCCCTCCCAGGGAAAACACAGAGCTGATAATCTGCCTCCAAATAATTGGCAGTGAACTATGAATTTATGTATTTAATTTTAACTCGAAATGGAAGCTAACCCTTCCATGGTGTCACCACGAGCCCAAGTGCTTTCCACGCGTGACCTCATTTAATGCTCGCAGTGTGCCTTGGACACAGCTACTATTATTAACTCCATTTTTCAGAGGGGAGAAAGAGTCACAGACCAGTTGAGTGGCTTATCCAAGACTCCACAGCCAGTAATTGGTGAATTTCAACTCTCATGGCATTGACAATTAACAATATCTTAGTGCCTGTTTTGATGATGTGTCTCTGTTGATTCTGGAAGGTAAAGTGTAAAAGAGAACAGCGGGAAAACCAATAAAAGTGAATGTAGAAAAGGTTTAGCCTCCACACCACACGGTTTCGTTTTCACAAGGGGGAGCAGGGCAGGGACAAGGGAGCATGAATTTTCTGTGTGATCCCACCCTCAGCAGAGAGGCTGTGAGGGCCGGCACCAGCCCCTTCTTGCTCAGACACAGTGGGATTCACCTCTGGCAAGGGAAGCAAAGGACAGAAACATAAGCTGCCATCAATTGATTTCTTTTTAAACATTAGAGGGGAAAAAAACAGGCAGATGATAACTCAGCACTTTAAGGCTCTGCGGATTGGGATGGTGTTAATCAAATCTGTAGGATAAAGGGGGCAGCGTTAGATGGAGCAGAGAGCCATGCCTAGAGGTCGTTGCGTGCTGTGTGTTCTGACTGCCGCAGCTGCTGCCCTAACTGGTTTAATTTTTCCCAAGGCCAATAAAATCGAGGGGGAGGAGATGCCACAGAGTGGGAAGAGCCTGGGGCTAAAGAGTTAGGACGTGTAAACATTTCTTAGCACAGTCTTACTGATTCTCGGTTCTGTATGTCTACAGTGCCATATGTTTATTTTTAAAAGTGAGCACAGTTGTGTTTGCACCGTCAGTCGTAAAGTACAGAGAATAAAAACCATCAGAGATGCTGGTCCTGTTTTACTCTGTGTTCACCCAGAAGAGGGTACCAGTTCCAGGCACCATATTCAGAGGGGGTACAGCCAGAGCGGGCCCCCAGAATACTTGCGATCATTCACCCCAAAGAGAAGGGAGGTTTATGATGGGAGGGGCCAAAGGCTGGAAAAGAAGCTGTCCCAAATAGTAAAAGGAATTGACCTTGGGCACTGGGGGAATGACACTTTCCTAGAAAATCAAAAAGAAAAACCTATTGCTACTCAGAACAACATGTAAAGTTTGTGCAATCAAGTAATCTTTTATTTCAATATGAGCTTTTATTTTTTTTAATTTATTTGGTTGCGTTGGATCTTTGTTGCATCATGAGGGATCTTTCCTTGCACGGTGTACCTGACACAGAGTAGGTCCTCCGTAGATATTAATTAAGAGCTGGTTTTAAGGGGTGAGTGAATGAATGATTGAAGAGATATCAGCACGGAAGTGGTGAGATATGGAGCAGACACGGACACGTGTCTCACCGCCTGGATGCTAGAAGCACAGATGCCTCTGACCATGGGAGAATGCGAAGGTCTTATCAGGTGGAGGTTGAATTCGATGATCATCTCTAGACCAGTAATTTTATGAAACTTTGGGGAGATGGAGGGGATGGACGGAAATTGCTTTCTGAAGGTCTGATATAAGGTATGGCTCTGAGCGGTTGCCACAAACTGGACCAAATGAAGTCTACAATGAAACATAAAGGTTTTCCATTGTGGAGGAGCTCGCCATCAGGATGGAAAAGGAGCTTTCTTAGTTTGAGTGGTCTTTGGTGCCAGGACAGATTTTTGAAAAATTTTGTTGGAATATAAAAACCCATGAAACTGTTAGTGGAACTACCCTGTCACTGCTGAAGGTGAACAGTAGGGAAAGGCTTGTTCCCTTCCTCAATATCCTAGGGCAGTGGTCTCCAGCATTTTTGGTGCCAGGGACTGGTTTTGTGGAAGACAATTTTTCCATGGACAAGGTCGGGAAGGTTTCGGGATGATTCAAGTGCGTTACCTTTATCATGCACTTTATTTCTATTAGTATGATGTCAGTTCCATCTCAGATCATCAGGCATTAGATCCCAGAGGTTGGGGATCCCTGCTCTAGGGAAATCTTTTCTCTTAGCTTCTAGGGGTTGCTGGCCGCCCTTGATGTTCCTTGGCTTGTAGACAGATCAGTCTCTGCCTCTTTTGTCGCAAGGAGAACACATGGCACTCTCCTTGTCTGTCTTCTGTCCGTGTTAAAACTTCCCGCTTCTTTTTTGCTTTAACTTTTACTTTTGTATTGGGGTATAGCCAATTAATGATGTTGTGATTGTTTCAGGTGAAGAGCAAAGGGACTCAGCCA